ATACTGTACCTAGAGGATCACCAGCTAATTAGTGACCGCCAGTACGTTTTCCGTCGGGACTGTTCAGCTGGTGATCTTCTAGTTTACCTAACTCATAGATGGGCGGAGGCAGTCCAATCCAAAGGGGGAGGCGTTGGCCGTTAGTTTGGCCATAGCAGAGGCCTTCGATCGGATTTGGCACAAAGTGCTTCTTTAGAAGCATCCTTCCTATGGGTTTCCTAAGAAATCGTGTAATTGGATCACCAGTTTTCGGTGCATGCTCCGATTACAAGCCATTTACGCTGGTGTTCCACAAGGCTGCGTGCTATTACCAACGCTGTTTCTTCTGCATATTAATGATATGTTGCAAACTGGTAACATTCATTGCTATACGGATGACAGCACTGGTGATACTTTATACACCAATATTTCTCGGGAAAACGTAGCCGAGTATCGGTACAAATATGTGTCTGAAGTCGAGACTTTGTTGAACAGTCTCGGACTTGGGGCGACTAAATCTAGTCCAGTTTAATCCCCAAAAGACATAAGTTTGCGCGTTTACCGCTAAAAAGAACCCCTTTGTCGTATCTCCTCAGTTTCAACGCACTTCCCTTGTTGTCTCAGCCTGTATCGGAATCCTCGGCGTCGACATATCGAGTGACGTGCTGTTTCGTGGTCACTTGGAAGAGAAGGCCAAATTTGCCTCTAAAATGCTTGGAGTGCTCAGCAGAGCGGGACAGTATTTCATGCCGGCACACCGCTTGCAACTTTACAAGGTGCAGGTTCGGTCCCACATGGAATACTGTTCCCATCTCAGGACAGAGGCTCCCCAGTGCCAGCTCCTTCCACTTGACCGCACCCAGCGCGGAGCGGTTAGAATCGTCGACGACCGAGTTCTTTCCGATCGGCTTGAATCACTGGCACTGCGTAGAAATGTTGCATCTCTTTGCGTATTTTATCGCATCTACCACGGGGAGTTCTCTGAGGAATAATTGTTGAGACTAATTTCAGACGCTCAATTTTACCATCACACATCGCGACAAATCTCGCGACACTATCCATGCCATCTGGATGATTGGTGGTCCACCACTGTGCGATTTAGAAGAAGTTTTCTCCCTCGCACAACTTCATTGTGGGATCGATTACCACCAGCGATTTCTCCGGACCGTTACGACTTAGGGACCTTCGAGAAAAGAGTCTGCTCCTTTTTAAAAGGCGGACAACGCATTTGTAATTCCCCTGGTGTTTCAGTTGTTCATGGGCGGCGATAGTCACTTACCTTCAGGTGAGCCACATGCTCGTATGCCCACTCTTCTATAAAAAAATGTGCGAATATATTTTTCTCTTTGAAAAGTAGATACTTATCTGTGATAGTTTCAGTCAACTAGAAATTTGGGACGAGTGATATTTCACCAGGTACTATTACACTGGTAAGATGTTCTGTATGCAGTAACTCGAACACTTGTATGTATCACAATAAGTGACCGTACTTCGTCGGTTCGAATTACTAAAATTAAGCAACAATCAGATTGAAGTGACTATTCACTAGTTACTATACACTATACATAAAGTAAACAGAACTCAATAAATTAGATCTTAGAATCATAATTATATTTTAAATATATAGAAACCTATGAAGCATTATTTACAGCCAAAGTGCCCAACTGCAATAAAGAAGGTTCACTTCATTAAAGTAACCACGTTAGTACATATTACTACTTCAACAAGCACACAGCCCACATGATGTAAGTGGATGTGCTGTGGCCAAAATATATCTACATCTATCATCGATTAAGAATCAAAATGCAGATGCGTTGTTGTACCTGAGGACTGAGATGGAATGCCTCGTATCCAGTAAAAAGGGCATCTGGTTCTCTACACTCACTATAAGAAATACAGCAGCATTAAGCTGCTATTTTACGCTGGTATTCTGTGAGAGCTAAGCCCTTACCTATAATTTAGCTGCAGCATGGCTCTACCACGTATGAAAACTTTATTTAGTTTAACTTTAGTAAATGTTAATTAGATTTGAATATCACTCTATCATTAGTCTCGAAGAAACCGGTTTTGGTAATTATTATGATAATTTAATTCATGTTAAAGTTAGAAGAAGTATTTAGTTATACTTACAACCATAAGTATAACCGTTTACGTAAATTTAGCTAAGGTAATACTATTATTTATTCTGTGGCTTACGTGGTAGAGCCAAGCTGCAGTTATATTATGGTTGTAGCATGAATGCATGCGCTCGATCGGGGTAGAACCACGATTTTCACAGAATACTAGGGTAAAAAAGCAGATCCTTAATGCTGCTGTATTTCGTATGGTGAATGTAGAGAACCGGAGACCCTTTTTACTGGAAACGAGGCATTCCATCTCAATCCTCAGGGGTGATAACGCATCTGCATTTGTAAATGTAAATGTTTCTGGACCACAGTATCCACTTACCTTCAGGTGGACTGTATGCTCGTTTATCTCCCTCATTCCATATAAAAAAAAACTGTCGCCATTTAAGTTTTGTTAAATTACATTGGTGTCTAAAGCAAGACTTTTAATATTATATAGAAGGCCAAATTCACTGATTTATTTCCAAGTTCAATAACCCACTCATGATTATGAGGCCGCGCGTCTCGTTTTATCTAGGCGCCGAATTCGTTACACATTTCTAAATTGGCACGCACGGTGGGTTCAAATACCTAGTACCTATTAAATTAAGAGCATCACGACATGATTTCTTTTTTTTAACTTTTTGTCTAGTACATAGGTGCCTAAGAAACCTGCAATTCATTATTAAGCACACGTCTGCCACCGAGGGGTAGGCACAGACTACGGACTACCATATGGCATGATGATGACACACCTCGCTTCTTTCACATCCATATTAAATCTACGCATACATACCATACTCTAAGTGCTTAATTTGGCCCATCTTCAATACGTCGCCAATTTGGTCGATATACTTCAGTCTAGGCACTAGCGCGACAATTGCAGATTCTGCCACTTGCTTCAGCAGCATACTTTTGCTCTTTCACTCTTTCCGCCTTAATTATTACGATAAAACTTACTTACTACAGAAGAGGCCAATGACCAGTAGTCAGTGGACTTTTGCGGGCTATTAAATAAGACGCGATATGTGCAATATTTTTTTTTTATATAGGTACATTTTCTTGACAGAAAAACTGATTTATGAAATTTAATTACCTACATTCATGCTATAGGTACCTACATACAGTACAAACTAATTTAAGTAGGTATAGCTTTTAAATATTAACTTATTAACTGAATAAAAAGTAAAAGCCGACTTCATAGAATTTAAAAGAATAAAATAATTTCAGCTATTCTGAAGTCCGTTCTAAGACGTAGGTACCGAGGTAGGTTTTACTTTTTAATAAACCTTTTTAGTGGACTAAGGAATCGGTTCTAAATAATTGACGAAGATATCACGTATAAAGAAAAAAAAACACAGACTCCTAAACCTCCTCCTTTTTTGAAGTCACCTAAAAAGTACATTTAATATTATAATAAAAAGTGTACATAAAATGTGTGTGAATTTTATCAATATTAAGCCGCGTCTCCACCAAAGTTTTGTTGCCAACACAACAGTTGCCAACAAAACTTGTTTCCATTTTCGGCGGCAACATCAAAGGAATACGCTTGTTGGCAACATTTGTTCCATCGGTGGAGACTAGGCTTGCCAACTCCAAAAAAGGCATTACCCAGCTTGACATCCGGGACTTAGATATATTACGCGGGACACCACACACTACATACAAATTGGTTAGAAAAAAATGTTATAATGTGTAACAAATTAGTGTAGTTGGTACGAGATAGATACTAATTTCATATAATCACTGATTTCCGGGACAAAAGGCGTCCCGCATGGGGTCACGGCGGGACGGCTCAAAATTGACACAGAAGCGGGACGTCCCGGAAAATCCGGGACGGTCGGCAAGCCTAGTGGAGACGTTTGTTGACAGAAACATTTGTTGGCAACACGTGTTGGCAACAAAACTTTGGTGGAGACGCGGCTTTAGGTTTTGCACCCTAGCCCACTAAATACCTACCCCAGCCCTAGCCTACCTACCTACTACTTATTATTTCTGTGGCAGTACCAAAGAGATTTAAATATATAGGTATACTAACTACTTAAATGCCTTTGGGCAGTGCACGCTCACTTCTCCCACTAACTTTCTGGTTGGCTAAAAAAAAAACAAAATAAAAGTACCTATAGGGACATGAAATATATACCTATCACTTATCATAATAATATATCATTTTAATATTTTTCTTTCTTATAATATAATGGTTTTCTTTGCAGTTGAACATTCAGTTTTTCATTACAGTCAATTTTAAAAGGTGCAATGTCGGGAAATATACCTAGCTCCGTAGGTACAAAAAAATATCGAAGGTCGATGTCCTATGACGAAATTATTCATTTAGGGAAATATTTAAAGCGCCATCTTACTAGTACAATACGAACAAAATTTCAAGTGTCGTAGAAGGTTACGTAGATGGCGCTAGCACACGAAGATGTGCAAATTTGTGATAACAAAATGCCAAGGCCAATGTTAATAAACTTTAACTTTGTTTTTAATATCTAGGTAATTTTTACAATAACTGATAGAAATTATTGGTTTTGATTCGTACATTATAAATGACAAGTCATACTTTTTTTTATAGAATTCAATAACAAAGTGCTTTATTTTTCTTTGTCTAACCTAATTTCAATATCTATGGACTGAAAAAAATAGAAAGACCGACTAGGCGACTAATTTTGAAACAATTTTAGAATGTATTAAGTAGTTTCAATAAGTTATTATTTTGTTACACATTTGAAGGCGTTATTCATGGCCTTTCTTAAGTAAAACCTAAAGTTACGTATAAACAACTATTGCAAAATTTAAATTTAGCGCGTCGTTGGGAAACGTGTGAAGTTCGCGTTGCGAATACTAGCTCCGATTATGATGTGAAAGATATTCCGAAGGCCGTGAGGTGCCGTGAGTGAACACGGAAATCGAGATGCGTGTGTGGTCAAAAAGACAGTGCAAGGTAGGGGTCGGGTGGCGTTTGTGATGGCAAAATTTTTGCAAATGGTGAGTTAGGAATTATTGACTTTGTGAACATGGAGATTTATTTTCATTTGTGTTAGTGAATTAATTGTGCGTTATAGAAATTTCGTTGTTGATTGATAATTTTAAGATTCTGAGATACGGGATCGGCAAATGGCGCTACGAATAGCCAAAGTTGACACAACTACGCGTTTAGAAATCCCGTTTGTCCTCCGAATAACAATTTCAAGGCACGTGGGATGTTCTGTGGACACAGCAATAATGGTGCATCTACAAATTCCTGAAACCACGCGTTTGATTAGCAACTGGCACGTCCAGCTTGGCGATTATAACGGTGTCAGCATGTTGCGATTTTTTTGGCCAGCGGTACTACTTTTCTAAACTCGTTTTATAGAAGCGGCTTGTGGTTTTCGCGTCCCGTAGGGTCGGTGGCCCCGCCGTGTGTCTTCTGGAGCTAAATTACATAATATAGGGGTCTCGCTTGGAGCATGCAACAAGTAGATATGTGTCGGCGGGCTAACTGTCAATGTTGAGTACAGTAAGCTTGCTGCCCGCGGCCCCTATTAATTCGAGCCGCTGATGTCACTTATCTTTGCGCTCTACTATCTAAGCCCTATGGCCGCATTTTTTTTGCACATAGTGGCTTTATGTATATTTGCTAAAGAGCGCACGTGTCTAATTACCCAGAGAATTTAAATAGTGGCAAAATTTATGATGCAAGTATTCTAGTTTACAGCTATTATATCTGACTGTTTTGGTTTTGTAGATTTTTATCAATTTTCTGAAGCGCTTTTTAGTGATAATGTATCTCTATTAAGCATTTAATGTGATCATTCACAGCACGGTCACTGACATTAGCACCCACAATGGACCAGCAATTCTGTTTGCGCTGGAACAACCACCCAACCAACCTGACTGATGTACTAGCAAGCTTGCTCCAGCGTGAGGCACTCTGCGATGTAACACTTGCCTGTGATGGGGAAACAGTCAAGGTACAATTACTGTATTAAACAACAAATTTTAATTTTGTTTTCAAATAATCTTTATTTGGCTTTTTCATATACAGGTGTAAAAAAGGTGTTTTAAAAATGCAGGAAGTTACATGAGCTGTTACATGTTAATATTTATTTACAATTGATGTGTTGATACATCATGACATTGCATTCATGAATTAAATATATGTTGACATGTTACATACAGCAGCTGTTTATTATGTCATAACAAATTGCATACAATAGTAAACAATGTTGAGTAAGAAACAATATAATGCACATATAGACTACATTTTGTATTTACTTATGAATTATTGAAACTTTGTTTATTTAAATTATTATTGCTTTTTTATTATATTTTCTAAATATTTTTTTTAAACTTAACTTTAACTTTTATGACTTATGAGAAAGAATAATATGCAAATAGGTTATCACTAAAGTTTGAAATGTTCAAAATCACATCTAATTTTACCTTCATATGAGCCACCAAATCAAGGCAGACCACATTGTATATATTCAAATGTTTGCTAATCCCACAAGGTTATTCTTACTGAAATTGTTTTTTTTTGTCATCTTGAAATCTTGAATGTAATTTACATAAAATACCTAGGTCTTATAATTCTTTCTTCCTGTTTAAATTTATCAAATGAAATCACCGTTATTTTATTTTATTAAATATTTTATACATTTTTAAAGGCTTTTTAAGTGTAATACCAAATATATTTAGCAAAATATGTATGTATTGACAGTAAAATATGAATAAATATGATGCTCTATATTTTATTAAGGTGTACACAGTATAGTACTAATTATCAGAGAAGGATATCAATTTAGTAATTATCATTGGCTTCATGTAAAATCATGTAATAAGAAGGTTACTATCACTGCAGTATATAGTTCTTTCAATTCATTAAAATTCAAACATTTTGAAAGTTTTAAAGTTTTATGCTAATAAAATGCAATTTACTTTGTAGGTCGTCAGTGCTATTCTCTGCTTGTATGTTAGGTAGTCTGCAGAAGAGCTGCATGTCTTTACTTTCTAATTTTTATAGCACTTGTTTGGTTGGTTTTAGGGTTTAGAAAATAAAATGAATGTACAGTTTTTGTCTGGTAAAAATAACCTTGTATTTTAGAGAACCATTTTTCTTACCTTCCAAGTAACTGGTTGATATTAGTAGTATTATGAATTAAAAAAAAACTTGTTGTATTGTAAACCTGTCTTTAAATTGTTTATTATTTTTATGTACCTCACTAAAATGGAATTTATTCTCAACTGTAAACAAAAAAATAATTGTATGTTTAGTGATAATTCTTTATAATGAGTGACTTCAGTGATTCTTTTTTGTTATAAAAGGGTACCTCAGAGGTGGTCCTATATAAATTTAGACAAGATCTAATGAAACCCCTGAAAAAATAATCAAATTCCTCAAGACAAGAATGAATAGTCTTTTATTAAGCTAAGTCACTGTGTTTTACCACCTTGGACTTCATCACCACCTACCATCATGTGGGACAGTAGTCAAGCATTGGCTCAAATTGGTTAATAAAATGTTAAAGGTCTGGTCAGGTCAGGTCTGCATCATAAGAGCAAATAATTATTTACTATGTCAACTAGTTACAATTATTTTAGTCTTCTTTAGTTCTTTAAGCCAATTATTACATTTTTCAATGTTTTATAATAATAATATTAATAGAGCTTCAAAAATGGTTGTTACTAAATTATGAATGTAACAGGCCCAATATAACAGACCTTCATATTATATTTTATATTTATACTGCAAGTTATTTTGTAGCTTGATATGAAAAAAATATTGTTACAGGCACATAAGACTATTCTCTCAGCATGTTCACCATATTTTGAAAGCATATTTTTACAAAACTCCCATCCACATCCCATAATATTTCTAAAAGATGTGGGGTTCTCGGAGATAAAGTCACTCTTGGATTTTATGTACAAGGTAAATATTAATGTTTTTTTGCTTAATTTTTTTTTAATACAAAATTCTATATACTGTTTATATTTCAGGGTGAAGTAAATGTTGGCCAAAATATGCTACCTATGTTCCTAAAGACTGCTGAAAGTTTACAAGTAAGGGGTTTAACAGAAAACAATACATTAAATGCCAAGGTAAACAAATATATACTTAATACTTAATTTTCTTGTTTAGTATAATTGTATATATTACCATAAACTAAAATATATAAAAATAAATAGATGACTTAAAACTAACATAGCAATATTTTAAACTGTCGTAACTGGCTACACATATTGTGAGTTCGTAACAGATTATAATGAACTTCCTAAAAATCTTTTGCATCTGACTGATTTAAATCTTGTTGAAGGTTTGATGAACTGTGTAGACACAGTGTGACAGTGCCACAAATGGATATATTTAAGTGGCAATAACTCATAGTAACCGACCTACCTGTATCCAATATAGCATGTATTCAGTTCGATCTAAGGCAGTACGAAGTGTAGACATTATAACAATGACATCAGACCCAGACTCTCATACCTAACAGTTATATATTTGCACAAATATTTAATTTGGACACTATTTACATGGCATCTAATTCAGTAGCCAGTTCATCTCCCCAAAGGCTATGTATGCAGTATAAAAGTTATTTCTCATGTTAACCATGCAATGGCGCTGTAAGAGCATTGACTACCCCATACCATCCCATGGGTGTCCTAAGAGGCGACAGAGGAAAAAAATAGAATATGATCTACAGTGTCTTCTTAATAACAACTAAAAAAATCTATGGTTGCCAATTCGCCTGCCGAATTTGTCAACTATGGCAATAATCCCTCCTATGAAGCAGTGTATGGGTAAGGCCTATGTACAGCAGTGGACTTTTGAAAAACTGTAACAGTAACGGTAATTTCTAATGTTGTCATAATTTTATATCCATAAGTATGTCTTATAAATTATTAAAAGTAATGAAAAAATTATATTGAATAAAAGTTACATAGTTAAACATTTATAAATTTCAAGTAAAGTATATATAAGCAAATACATTTTAATATAAATTAAACAAACTGTCAGCTTAAATTTATTTAAATGCATAATTTATTTAAATTTAGGTGAATAAACAGATCATTGGGTACATTTCACTCCAATTTATTTATATATTTTTTTATTTATTTAGGCTTACCAACTAAACACATACATTATTATTAAACATTTGCAGTTATAATATATTACCAGATTTTTGGGATAAACCACTCGATTATTCTAACTGTAACATTTTTAGGTAGAAAAAACAGATTGCTCATTGTGCATGAATGAACCCAAATGGGTTTATAAAATTGGTATTATTGGTAATTTAATATAGGACGAGCATTGATTTAGATCGTTATTCAGAAAAGTGTAGCTTAACAGTACATACCGTTAGGAATTATATATCCTCTTAGGAATTACTTAACTGTATTAAAGAATTTTCTCTTGTCGCGCAATATTTTCTCGTGGCCTTGATATTTGTGACAAATAATAACCTGCCGGGTTGAGTGTCTTCTACACGTGCACCCTTTTCTATGGACTAGTTTACGCAAACCGGTTTATTTGCAATCGTGATGCGACAATAATTAAAATTTAACAAAACCACAGGACCAAAACCATGGCTTGGTTTTGGTCCCTAATATAAAATTTACTGCAATAATTATATGAACTAGAAGAGGCGAAATAATTCACAAAATACCGCTAATATGATACGCCGTTATAAAACAGTTAATTATAAGCTCCACTCTAAATAAATTTAACAAATCATATAAAAATGTATTTGTCTGTAAGTTCTATTTATTTATATTTTCAGCTAAATTCGGTTATTTCTAACCATCCAAGCACGTAGTGCATAACTGAAGTAATATGTACGAAATTTCCATGTATATAAATGATAATGTCAATACAGAGTTAAAATGAATTTCTTTTACCTTTGCCACAAATAATTTTACTAACAGCGATCTCATAGTATAATAAAAACTATAATAAAGCTAACATAATGAGGGTTGAGTTTAGCAATTAAATTTTTTCAAATTATTTCTAGACGTTTAATTAAATCATGCTCGCAATAGAATTAGAATTTTTGTTTGCCTCTGTGTGCCCATCTTTTGAATCAGGCGTTACTTTGCAGAAATCTATTATAATAAAGTTGGAAAAATTTCACTTTACCTCCATCAGTTCAAGAAAATAAAATGTCTCTTACCTAGTTTGAAGAGCACCTCCCACCCTCCCTCAAATGCGTGCATTATCCTCATCACCACTCCGCTCATAGAGTCTACCAAACCTGAAGATGCCTCGTGTAGAGGCGAAACACGTGTCGTATTATCGTCTGTGGTGTATCTTTCCTAGTGTAGTGGTGGTGGAATAGAGATGCTGAGATTAATGGTGACGGGGATAGTGCACGCAATTGAGGGAGGGCGGGAGGTGCTCTTCAAATTAGGTAAAACACATCATTTTATTTTATTGAGTGAATAAAGGCAAAGTAAAAATTTTCCAACTTTACTTACTCTAAATTCCTTTTTAACCATTCTGGTACTGTCTGATACCTCTGGAATAACCTGTCTAAAAATTGTAGACATCCTTCCAGCAGAAACATTAAGAATAATATTTAGGTCTATTTCCTAAAAACTGTGCCATCTAGATATTTCACTAAGGTTAAGCATTGAGATCTTTCTGGGGTTACTTATAGTCGCCACTTAAAACGAATGGGAACTGATGGAATGATGAATTCTCTTACGTGGCGTAAGAGTGCTGCACGCACGGTAAAGTGTTATATACATATAAAAAATAACAATGCATTTTACATTAAACTTGATCGCATTAAATACTAAAAGATTTCACGAAGTAACGTCTTTATTTCGTATATAATCCGTTCTATTCAGACGGAGGAGCGTTCGACGCCATCGATGGGCGCGGAGAATTTATCTCGTACGGAGTTTGCGACGCCGCCTTCGGCGCACGGCACAACGCACGGGGCGACGCACGGCTCAGCGCACGGCGCGACGCACAGCTCGACGCACGGCTCGACACACGGCGCGACGCATGGGAGAAGCACTCCCTTGCAAGCACCTCCAGCGCTCGTCCCGCCGGAAAAGCGACGTAGGAAGAACTCTACAGTACCGCGTGACGACGTCGATCTCACATACCGGCATTATGAGGTGAGTGTGCAATTTTTTGCCATTGCAAAAAGCCTGCAAGCAGTCCCATTTTAACTCCCCTCCCATAATATAGCACCTAAGGTATTGATTGCAATGATCAGACCAAGTATTTAAGGATCTGATGTGTTTGTGCCCTGCATGATGAGATGTGATGGGCTGCAATTAATATTTATGAAAAGCAATGACATTTTTTAAGTATTCGATTAAGCTCATAAATTACCATCATATTATGACCCGTTTCACGGTATGTGTAGTTGGTTTTGCTTCACCGCTTACAGGAAAACACCGCATGCTCTATAATGTTTGTTCTTATGAAAATAAAATTATATATGCAAAAATATTTCATGTCTTGAGTTGAACTTTAAACAATATTAAATATAAAATTTTATTTTGTGGTGAATTCATTTTATGTACAAAAAATTCCATAATTATAGATTCATCAAATGCAAAAATTAGGTCTGGACACATCTGTCAAGAATGAACAAATCTGCGTCCATTATAGTTTACCAAGTATTGGATTCAGCTTGTTTTCTAGAAAATTGTATTCATATGTTTGACCTGTTCCTGTCAGAAGTAGAAATGGAACTATAATAATAGTTTCACTTCTCATATACCACTGCTTAAAATCGTTCAATGTTTTCAATCTTGTAGTAAAAACATACAGTGTCTATTCGTTTTACTAACATTAGCCAAGGGCGTCATTTAGACAGGGCTGGACATTCACAAATTAAAAGTAGGAAAGAAACGAGAATAAACATTTAAATTTATATACAAAATATTTAAAAAAAGTTCTTATGCATAGGCAAACTTATTTGGAAATATTGCAATAGACACAATTTTGATGCTTGAATAAATAATATGTTTCTTGAAATGGTGCAGGCTATGAAAATATATGCATAGAGGAAATACTCAATAAAAGTTTTAATCAATTGTATATTTAAAATACTATTGGAAATAAAAAATATAATTTAATCTATAATTTCAATGTTAAAAACTATAACAGCCAATAGCAATTTAATATTTTTCAGTAATATGAAAAAATATAATTTTGTTAGATTGATTGATTGTTTAATTAAATATTTATTGACTGCTTCATTATATGTGCATTAAAATTAAGCATAGAGTAGTCATAGGCCACTTTTAAATAGATTTGCTATGTTTAATACATTTATTTATTTTTTATTTATTTATCCTTTATTGCAACACACCAGCTAGGGGTTACAAAGGGCGGACTTAATGCCATTCTCTACCAGTCAACCCGACGAAAAATGGAATAAATAAAGATGTTGGCAGGTGCAAGTTAAAGACAATAATAAAACATAAAACATAAGTTATAAATAAAAACAGTTCAGCTATAATAAATAGATTACACAATAAAAAAACTACCTAATTGCATTATATAAATACAGTATATATAAACAACACACATGTAAACACACACACACACACACACACACACACACACACACACACACACACACACACACACACACACACATATATATATATATATATATTACATACACACACATATGTACATAAATATATATATATATATAAAACGGGGAAGGCAATTATTTGTTGTTTACCTCTAAATAACGTTGTCGCACCAATCAATCTTTTAAACAAACGCTTATTCGTAACTTCCTTGACATCAGCGGGTAAAGCATTCCAGAGAAGAATAGCCTGAACTGTGAAGGAAGAATTAAAAAATATATACATACATCACCAACGGAAGGCTATTTAGGATTTGTCGTTTTAAACCTAGCACAGATTCTTCACCTAGGAGTTTAGGAAACCAGCCCATTGAATTCTTGTGTCTTATGGATTTGAGTTAAGTAAAAAAAAGTAAATTAACAGCATGTAAACGTTCCACTGCTGGGCACAGATTTCCTGTTATTATTGAGAGGGTAATGGAGCGGGAAGCCCGCCGCGCCCGCGCTGCTCCAGTGCTTCTCGATGGACTCCATAATATCCTTGAAATTTTATTTCTTGATATACCTTACGATATTTACCGTTAAAATTTTATTTTAATGGTCAGTGCAAGTATACATAGCGGCGCAAGTCGTGAGCAAGTGACAGTATTTGCGCATGTACATTTTCCAGACAATATACTGCAGGCGAATGACACGTGAATATCTAATATATGACAAATATTAATTAACTAACAGATCAATCAGTTAAAAGATTTTTTTTATAGAATAAGGGTGACACAAACGTGCACACAGTCCACCTGAAGGTAAGTGGATGCAGCAGCCCATAGACATCTACATTTATCCTCAATTAAGAATCCAAATGCAGATGCGTTGCTTGCCACCCCTGAAGACTGAGAAGGAATGCCTCATTTCCAGTAAAAACGGTCTCTGATTTTCTACACTCACCGTACGAAACATAGCAGCATTAAGCTTTAAGCATGTTCACCGTACTCGCACCGCACTCTTGTACTTCACCAAAATCTACTATTGCGCATGTCAAGGGTGTGCTTACGACTCGTGCCGCTATATAAATCTTGGGACTTAAAACAGTAGTGTATCCACATCAATCCAAGCTGTGAGGCATTACATTTTAGTCCTCAGTGGTAAATGATATAAACATGTGGCCTTATTTATTTGCAGGTGTATGAGTAGCCAGTTTGTGGGTTTTTGTAAAGGAATTTGTTTTGATAATGATTTCTTATGTTTATGTGTACACTACACATTTAAATAAAATTATTGATTTTGTCGGGTATATTCATTTATTTTATATTCCCGTCTTTTCGTGCACTTGAGGTTGAGGTTCGACCTCCAAAGATCATAGTTAACCACCGCCAATTTTTAGTTTGGCACGGCTAAATTCAGATTTATTTGAATTGGTTTTGGTTCAGGCGCACTCGAAGGGTGGTAAGGGCGGGTCTACGGGGTCCGGGTCGGAGCCGTCGACGCCGCCGCCGGCGCACACGCCGCAGCGCCTGACGCCGCGCTCGCCGCACGCGCCTCACGCGCCGTTGGCGCTGCCCGCGCTGCCCTCGCACACGGCGCACGTCAAGCAGGAGCCGGACTCGCCGTACGCCGCGCCGCACTCCGCGCCGCACTCCGCGCCGCTGCACCCGCCGCCACAGTATGACCAGTCGCATCTACCAGTCAGTACCATTTTATTGTTATTTTTAACGGCTTCAAACGACGCCTTGTAACTCCCAGCATTATGCCTAAACACTCAAACGCTACTCAATAAGATGCCCGTTGCTTCTATCACTTTGAGTCAAAGTCACTGACAGCAAGAGACTTAACGGCAACTTAAAATTGAGTATTTAGCCATTAATAATTCAAAATTTTGTTTTTGTTATCTTCATTTATTGTATTAAACTAGTTCCTCGAAATCATATAATATGCCATAGCTTTCTCAAGAACGATTCAATTATTTATTTTTTATCATGATTTGTCTGCACATGCTGGACAGTAATATTGGTAATTAATTTAGTAATTTAATTACATAAAATAGTTTAGAATAAAGAGCATAATTTTTTTTATGAAAAGACTATTTTCATAAGTGTTGATATCTATTCTTTAAATTAACAAAGTACTAGTAAAAAAACTAAACAACACTATACTTAAATTAATTCTCATTCCACCAAGACTGGAAAAATACATATTAAGTTATTAACACATAAAATAAATTAGCAAACATTTACTGCCATACATTAAGGTAAGGCCAGCACTATATGTATTGTGCCTTTTTTGTGTTAAGTCACTTATGTCCTGCATTCACTCTTTTTTTTTTTTATATGTAATGCAATATATTTCTAAAACCATCACTTTCGTCTATTTGTATTTAGTTTTATTCCCATTTCGTTTTATGCTTTATTAATTAATGCTACCATATTTTACAACACGCCCCCCGTCAGCGTACAAGAAGCATTTGACGACAACTCATCTATTCTTAACCCACATTCTTCGACTTTCAAAGATTCCAAACAACTGTACATAAACAAGTTGAACAGCCACAGGGAATCCACACAACTCTGTCTGATACCAAACCAGTCCATGTACGATGATCCTGATCCTGACAGAAACACCAGAGTGCATATAAAGATATTTTATTGCTTGTATAAAAATTAATTTAAAAAGCTGACTTTTACATGGTAGACGTCATTTCTATGGTTCAAATAGGACAGAGCAGTATATCCTTTTTGGAAGGCAATACAAATTTTCATTCTACCATTATAATTTAAAAGTATGCCAGAAGAAGCATAAAAGTAAGTTGAATGCAGTGGAGATGCGATCTCTTCGTAAAATGTGCGGCGTTACTATGGCCGACCGAAAGCGAAACGAAGAGATTCGCAATATGGCAGGTTTGAAAGATGACCTTATCACAAAAATTGATAAGGGCGTGCTTCGGTGGTTTGGGCACGTTGAGCGAATGAGTGAAGACCGAATGGTGAAGAAAATATATAGCGCGAAAGTTAATATTAAAAGGTGTCGAGGTAGACCGAGACTAACTTTCGAAGACCATGTGAGCAAATTGCTCGAAGAGGGTAGGGTCAAGAGTACTCGGATACCTAGACGTGCATGTATGAAGAAGATAATGAATCTGAAAGAAGCGAAAGAGATATGTAAGGATCGTGACACTTGGCGATCTGTTCTCTCTGGCTACCCCGTCAGGGATTGTGCGTGAAGATAAGGATAATTTAAAAGTATTCCTAGAAATTCTATTTTTAATATACGATACAATTTGCACTAGCTGATACCCGCGACTTCGTCTGCGTTGCTTGATATTTAACTATTCTTAAACAAAGTTTTCGATCTTCGCGACAAGAAAACACACATCACTGAACACGTAGTGCTTATAAAAATCGTTGTTTCTTAAGACTTTAATAACTTTATATTACTTCATTTAATATATCAAATATATTTTTAGGTACCGGCCAATTGTCTAAGAAATAAAACTTAGAAAACCTAATTGAAATCTATCCAGTAGTTTTTCTGTAATGCGCGCACAACTGCAAACCTCTATGATTTTATTAATATAGATAATACTATTTTGATTTTAAAAGAATGTCAAAGTAACAAAAATATTTCTTATTTCTAAAATTTTGTAGTAGTTTAAATAATAAAACTGCACGGATAGCCATTACTATTTTTTTATTTTTATGCAAAACCATTATGTCTGCAACAGAATAAATAATTTTATTTTTCGTACTACTACATTACTATGTACGTAGAACCACATTAAACAACATAGCCCAAAGGATCTGTAATGTAAAGCTAGTGGGATAAAATGTATGAAAACATTTTTTTATCATTCCAGGGCATGGGAGTAAACGAAATGGCATCCATGTTGACCCAACATCCACTTAACAACGAGTGTAACGAGAATGAAACCATGTTGCAACCACATCCAGATCAAACTGACACCATAGATGGTAAGTTTTTATTTATTTTAAGGCGACCACATACTTATTGTTATCTATATTTACATAATATATTAAAGATAAGATAAACTTTTCAGACTGATATAGTTTAGGCTAAGTTTGTGGTCGCTTAAATTTCTAATGTAATGTAATTTTTAAACCAGTTGTGATTAATGGTTATGAAAATGTATTTAAAATTGACACATATATTTTATTATAATCATTGTCACAACAGTTACTCCGAATGTGTATTAAGTGTGATTTGTTGGCAGCTTTTAAAATGCGTTAAATATATGGAAGTATAGACTATACACAAAAGTGTTTAATATTTCCAAATATTTTCCTATAACCTTGTTGTATTATAACTGCATGCCATTAACACTGGATAGCATGTTTATACTCTCGCTTATTATTCTACTATAATTTGCACCAACCACTCATTGAACGCTTTTATTAGTTTCATTACTTTATGCTTTGGTATATTTTCTATTATTAAATGAAGGAATCGGTGTGGTTATAATTGGAATTTGCATATGATTTGGCGCTCCCCAAGTTAAGGTCATATTACGTTAAACAATTAATATTATAATATGATTTTGAAGTAATTATGTATGAAATCGTTAGGATAAATACCTACAAATAATCCGGTTGTGATTGAGTAGGAAGTGAACTATTGTCGAGGTATGCATGGGACACAATGGATACTAAAATATTGTAATGCAATATAGTTTTACTGAAGAGTGCAGCACTGTCTTGTCCAGACAATAGCATGAAATACAAAAAACTCTAAAGAAGTGAAAAAATTACATGTCTTACAGGTGAAAACTATGGCGTTGACGAAAACATTAAGCCTCCAGATCCATTCAGCCACAAATTAGCGAATATTGAAAACATAGTGAAATCCTACAAAATTGCACTAAACCAAAAACCTTACAGTATTACTATGTCGTGTAGTGTGTGTGGTAAAAATGTTAGCAATATAAAGAAACATATGAAATCTCATAACCCTGAACAGCACAAATGTCCTCTGTGTCCTATTATATTAACTCGAGCTGACAATCTCAAAAGACATTTACGTATGAAACACTGTTCTGTTTTGAGGTCTGACAATCTATCAAACATCCAAACTCCTTGTTGAGAATTAATATTAGTCAAATTACAGAACAATTTTTCCATAACTTACTAAGAATGTTATTCATTCTTCGTAAATAAGTCAAGATTTCATCATTAAAATAATGATAATGATATGGTTACCTACAATCTCTCAAAAAATGTCACATTATAATGATGTATTTTATTTGCTTGAATCATATTGAATATAATGCTGCAAGTACTTAAATTGCACAATGTACTAATTATAAAAAAATATCTTTAACAAAAACGACATCATATTTTTTTATAAAAACATATTTAAACTTTGTTGCTTTCTTCAGAGTAATAATTTTCCCCCAATGAATTTGAACAGCAAATAAATACATTATAATATTATGTACATGAATTTTCGACATACTCCAAAGAGGTATTTTTTAAGATGTGAAACCAAAAACTCTTAAACTTACTAACATTTTCTTGTTTATTATAAATTAACTCAAATTGCTTTCACAGGTTCTATTTCCATTTTGTAATTAGAAATAAGGTGTGGTGTGTTTATTTCGTCTTTCTAATTAACAAGTCATAACAAGCACTATAATATAGTTTAAGAATTAATTAACTACAACAATGCTATTTTGTTTTAAAGGAATGTTAATTTTGCTTTTTAGTGTTTGTTATGTCTGAAATGCTAAGAATCAGTAAGCTAGCAATCGGGATATAAAGTGTATGGCTAATTTTAACTAAGCTTGGAGCAATTATGTTTAACTTTCTATTTTTAGTCTTATTTCATTATTCTCCTTTTCACCCATGTTACTTTAACGCCACATGGCTATAACTATAGTGAACAAAAATGTTTGTTTTATTCACTTTTAATAACGTAAATGTAAATTCTTAAACTTGTGATAATATTTACACTGATTTTTTCGCTTCAACTAATTTGTTTAATTTTTATTTTTGTGTATAGAAATAATGTAATATTGAAGCTTTTCAGGGTGAAACTTACTATATTTAATAATAGTTTAGTCAATTTTTAACACAAGCTGTGAGTAAGGGATGGGTTCATTTTATCTTAGTTAGAAATTTCTTTTTAAGACAGTGATATAATTTTTATATTATCAAATATAAGTCGCGGCACGTAAAGCTAGCGCTGAACGAAAAGTGGAGGGAACGCTGACAAATTGAATTGCACGAATGTGACTGGAGAGCCAATTAGCGCGTGCAAACGATACGCACGAGCCAATCAGCGCGACTTATGCGCAATAACGGTCGCCGCTAGACTTTCGTGCCGCTACTTATATCCATTTTTTTTTCTTTTTCAAGGCATTTCAATTGATACAGTAAAATGAAATCCAACCTGCCCTATTGCGCACTAGCAACATGTGATCTCTTATCGTTCCTTGTAGTAAATGTTTAAAATAAAACAACAAGTGTTCAAGACTGAATATGTAATTTAGGGCAACACCCTTTTAATATTAATTTATTTCTTTTAAACAATTAATTAACTTGTATGTAAGTATCGTTACTGTGTGTTCGTTGCAAATATATTCCTTTATTTATACTTATTTTCTTTTCATTTTCATCCTCTTCCATGCTTTCTTTTATTTATAGCAGACCTACTTTTAATAAATCGCATTCTGTTTCCAGCTTGGTGAAAGTGAACTAATTAACATTTCATGCAAATATAACAACACTGACAAATAACAAACACCATTTCTTCAAACGCCATTGATTCATTTCTGCATGAATCTCTTGAAAGTTATTATTATTTTTCAAGTAACATTATTTCGGAGGTTTCGTTACAATATGTAATTCTTGTAATTTCTTATTCATTAATAAACGCTTTTAAATATAGTGCTAGGAGAAGCATAGTTTAGCATTTAACAATTAATCTCGAAGCTGCTTAAACCTAGTGCTAATCTGTTGTCATTATTTAAATTAACATTTGTGTCCAAGTACAGTAGAACTATGACTTTTTAACCTTTTTAACAAAAAGGTAAGATAATTTATAATTTTTTATACATAAAACCATATTATAATTTTCATTCAAAGCTATATGCATTGTATAGCGTCTCTTCATAACATATGAATAATTTTAGTATTTATATACAAACATAATTAGTTTAGTATATATGAACAAAAAGCAATCTCATTAACAGTATTTATTTGAAGGTTGATTATTCTAGGTTCTACTGATTTAGAAGTACTTATAACTTCATTGTGGAAGTTCAAAATACATTTGAAATGCGTGTTAAATGCTGCAGAACCAACAGATGTAAATATTATGTATTTAAAGTATTCTATAGTGAAGATACGTCCAAATATCCAAATTTTTTGTTAGTAGTGAGCGATTATGAATGATTATTATATTAATTTTTTATCTTGATACTGTACATTATTACTATATTTTTTATCAGAACTACTTATCAAAGAATCATGCTAGTATTTAAAAAAAAGTGTGTGTGTTTATGTACGGACGTAGGAAGTTATACTTCGTTAGCGTGACAAAGCAAAAAACCTTGCGAGACGATTACCCACTGAAGTTGTCTCTTTTAGGTGTGTCAATGTGCGCGCGCATCGTAACAACTTCATGGTGTCGTTTTTAGGTGTCTGTGTGCGCGCTGTAACCTATTTATATAATTTTATTTAAAATATCTATTGTGTGTATGTTGTAACAACTTCTTCAAAAATGCCAACCTCGCCTCCATGCGATGCAAACAAGTTACAGGTTATATTATCCCACTGCTGGGTACAGACATCCTCATTTTTGAGAGGGCTTCAGGGCAAGGAAATAAATATCCCTTGCACCGACCTAATGCGTGTTGGCGGTCGTCACACGTCTGCTTTCGAAACTTTTTTTATATTTTTCAGACATGCCGGTCTTACGATTCTTGTCTTCACCGCCGAGCACGTGGTAAATCAGCACTAAAATTGCAATTAATAACTTCATTGCTCCCGAACCTAGCTTGCTCGTGTACTCTGAAATTTACAATGGGCGTTTAGCCCCTGATATATCACGGCTTTTAAACCCTTAAACGAGGTACTGGCGACCGACAAATGCCATCATAATCATTTTAAAACGCCAAGCTCAAATCCTTTACAGGCTGGTGGATGAGAAGTAGCATTACCAGAGCAAGGATATCTAGTACCTATACTAACAAATAGTTGTTCACCTATCCGCCTTCCCTGCATGTGAATATGGAAAATATTTCAAATTACCCAAGCTAATTGGCACGTTGTAATGGATTAAAAACGACTGATAAATAAATTTTAGGATGTGTTACATATTACGTAAACAAAAAAAAAACACAAAGTTGAAATAGTTAATATTGTAATCAAAATATATACTAGCATGTAATTCGAGTAATCATTCATAATCGTATTTGAATCGATGTAACATTGCTAAGAGTCGGTTGGTACTGCGGCATTCGTCGGTGAGTTATGTGGCGATGGTGTGAGGGTGTGGTGGGAGTGACGGCTCGCTGGTTGCAGGCTCGAAGGGCTGGCACATGCGGCTGACGTTCGAGAGGGTGGCGGGCGCGCTCAACCTCCACCGGTGCAAGCTGTGTGGGAAAGTGGTCACACATATACGCAACCACTATCACGTCCATTTCCCGGGACGGTTCGAGTGTCCGCTGTGCCGCGCCACGTATACGCGCTCGGACAACCTCCGCACGCACTGCAAGTTCAAACACCCCGCGTACAACCCGGACACGCGCAAGTTCGAGCCGACGCCGCCCGCCGCTCCGGCGCCGCACGGCACGCACACTACACACGGCACGCACGCCACGCACGCCAGCCACGGCAACCATACTGCGCCGCTCTTCGCCAACCACCTCGACGCGGGCTTCGATTGATTGTCCATGTACTGGCTCGGCCTCGATGCTCTATGAACAACCCGGCCGGCCAGACCAGCCCACTAGTTACTGATGTGTCAAAATTCTAATGGACGACGTATCGCGTTGACTTTCCTATCTAGAATTAAGCTGAAGTGCTATTACTTAAGCGGGCCTTAAAAAAATTCAGTTCTTAATAGCCCATCTACGATGGGCGACTCGTTTTAGTATTGTCTCGGTTGTGCATTTGACTTGCCCCAGTGTGACCTTATATAATTCGCGTAATGAAATTTTTAATGAAACGATTTCGAAAAAGGAACGTATATCCTTTGCGTCGATGTCGCTTAATTAACTCGAAACGTATATAATGTAGGTAAGCAAATTTTTTTCTATACCAATCGCTATACGGGAACGGGCAAAAGCAATAATACGATGTTAATTTTATTACCATATTATTTTTTATATTATATCGATAGAAATCTTAAGCTATTTAAGAATATACAATATAATTGAGTAGCGGTGCGACCGCGAAGTGATGCTGGCTATTCAACGGTTGCCCATAACTGGGCATTCATTGTCTTGTTATATTTATTCATTAGATAGGAAATTATGAGTTTCCTGTAGCCAATTGTATTTATGTTATTATATCCTTTAAGAGGTGCGGAACGACAACAGAACAGGTTATCGAGGACTGGCTAGAGATTGTGATCTGTCGTTGGTCAACGACATATAAATATTGACTGAATCTCAGCGTAGATGCATTTATAACTCTATGAGGCCTTTGCAAGATGGATAATTATTAAGGATTTGTGATGTATTAACGGATAGCGCCTAAGGAAACATACGAAAAGATTTTTTATACTAGACTAGTTGATCTATTTACGGAGATTGTTTTTTTATACTTAGATATATTCTATTGTCTGATTGAATATAATTTTATATTTATATAACTTTAATATGATTTATTAGTGTTGTTTGTTTTTATTGATTCAACCTATGGTAACATGATTGATTTCGTTTATATTCAGTTGACGGTTAAATGTAATACAACTTGAGATGTTAACATGTTTATTATTTTATCGTTGGTAGATGTTTTTAAGTTTAGTTGTCATAACGGGTCGCCAGAACCCATGTGTGAACGGTGCTTTGAGGTCAAAGACCTCGTTTCAATTATTTTAAGGTAGGGTGGAACGTTCGAGGTTGCGCATTTAGTAACTAATATTGGCATTCTACGATTGGGACTAACCTAGCGTTTATGTATGTATTTTTCAATTAAGATTTAAGAATGTTAAATTTTTAACTAAACACTTAGAGTGGTACGGTAACTGAAATGTGATAAAATGGAATGGTGCTAGAACCAAGAGTGTTAACACGCTACGATTCGACTCCTATTTGTAATATTAATGTTTTTATGATTAGTTTGCATTATTGTAAGGCATCTAGCATCCAGTTGAGGTCGCATCTGTTTGGTCAACGGGTAATAACGCATACGTCGTTACACAACTAGAGATTACAGTATCACTCGAGATTTTTTACCTTAATTTTTCAGACCTTCAAATTGACTAATATAAGTAGAATGTAAGACACCGTTTGTATAGATCAAATCCTACTCAACCAAAAAGGAAACGTCTATTGTTCCATATTAGGAGCATAGTATTCAGATAGCTTTCCGCGATCGTTTCCCATATTTTCTAAGTTGTGGCGTCAATGCTGTTTTAGTAGCTGTGAACATGCAATTTCACTTGTGCAATTTTTTTAATAGTCATCTCATACCTAGATTTACAATTGTCTATTAAATATAGGGGCCCACTTGAAAGATAAGCACTAAGCTCCTGTGTCCCGTAAGGATATACAATATCACCAAACATTTCTTCCACAAAGATTTTTATATTTATTTTAGTGATAATAGAGATTTTTATATACCTTATCATTCAATTGTATGCTGTGGGCGCTTATTATTTGATAGCATTTCATACTCAGTGCAATATTACTAGTTATTTAATTACGTAACCAAACTAAAGGATATTTTAAAAGTAAAGAATGTCTTTGAAAGAGAGTAAATTACAATTTTTGTATTTACATATTATGTAAAGTGCTACTCCTAACTTCTATTTCTACATATGAAACGCAGTTTGGGTTACGGTGTTGTACAGGTTTTATAGCTGGTAATATTAAGGATTAGCTTGTTTACCTCTGCCAATCGTAATAGTTTATGTACTGTTTATTAATTTATTATTGTCGCGCAATTTAAAGTCTATTGTTGAAATAGATCATAGCTATCCGGTACGGGTTCAATGCTCGGTGGTAGACTCCGCCGAATTGCGTCAAACGCTTCATCTAATCGTGAATGCATTTTTTGTATATTACTATCACTCGAGACCAATTTTTAATATTGAATTTGCTATAGCAAATTGATTGACTAGTAATATAGATTATTTTAGATATTTTAGGTTAGGATACTATGATAGTGTCTGGCCAGAATATTTTGGAGTATCACATCGTTTGGCTCAGAAAATATCGCCCTTTGATCTCTTTTCAGCTTTCAGAAAGTGTGCAACTTAATAAATATATGATGACCACGTAATTGGACTTATTGAAAGCTAACTTTATGCCATATGGAATTTACACATAAGGTTAACGAATTACTAAATTTAGTCTATTGAGAGTAAGGTCTTGAGGACCTAGTCACTTATTTGGCCAATCTAATTGAATATTCCAATTTATTGTATAATGAAAATTTACCTTTATGTCACATGGATGTGATGTTATCAATTTGAAATTCAATGGAGTGCAGGACAAGCTCTGTAGTTATTTTCAGGATAGCAATGGTCTAGTTATGTTTATTTTGTTTCTTTATAACATTTAGCAAATTTGTTATAGTGTCGTGTATCACAATAGTATATATACTGATAGGGAGGGGGTGTCAAATCGTGTACCTAACAACTGGCGATCAGTCTTGTTATATATTTACATGAAATTTTATGAACGATTTGTTGTTTATGGAATAGTTTGTGTCTTGGTTTGATGCCTCCATTAAAAGTTTAATTTAAATAATTTTGTTTTATGCAATCAGTTAATGCAATTTTTTTTTATTTCACATTGTTTGATGTTATGTAATGCAATTTTAACATGTTGCAAACTCCTGCATTTATCTGTTGTATTTATTACTAATTTTTACATTAAATTGTGGTATGTTACAATTCGTGTAGTTTCAGTTGTGCGGTGTCACGCACCCCATCCTCATTTCTAAGTCGGTGTTAAGAGAATGCACGGACCGACAGCTTGACACACTTCGCTGTCATTATCTGTACTCTAAACAGCAACACTTCAAGTTAGAGAACCACATAATACATTAGCAATATGCATGCACTAAATTTTAATGTCCGAGAGTCAACTAGAAGTATTGCTGTTCTGTTGAAATTCAGAAGTCAATTAAGAAATACATCCAAGGTTTGGAGACCCTAATTTTATGAAATTTCGATTTAGCATACAACAGTAGTTTTTTCTAAAGGCCCAACCTAAATTCATCCATTAAAAAAGCATGTCCATCTTTTGCTTCCTTCTTAAGCGTAGTATTGTAATATTGAACATGCTCAATATTGAAACTGTTTGCTACAAATATTAACTTCCTCCATTTAACCGGTTCCAAGCCTTGGAATTAAAGCTAAAATCCTGCGCGAACGAGGGTCCTGTAGCGAGCCGTGACGGTCATTGGTTGCAGAACGCTCCCACGTGCCAACTGCGCAGTATTCGTACCACAGTATGTTCGTTGCGGCGGCCGAGAGCACGGCACTGTGGCGTTGCAAGTCCTGCGGCAAGGAAGTATCAAACCGCTGGCATCATTTCCATTCACACACCGCGCAACGTTCGGTCTGCCCATATTGCCCAGCCACCTACAGCCGAATCGATACGCTGCGCGCTCACTTGCGCTTGAAACACGCCGCGCTTCTACTCAAACATTAAACGTTGCACACACAAACGGCCCCCGACCTCTACCTTGCTCTGGAAATATACACACACACGCAAACAACACACAACACATTTATTTAAGTATTCGAACGAAAACTAACTTGTTTCTTGTTGTCCGTTATTTTAGTCATAACGTTTTACATTCATAATTAAATGAGTAGGTAATTTATCGCACGTTTTCGTGCATTATTTATTGTTCTAGTTAAGTGCAAAATATAAATATGTATGTTTATAACTAACAGGGTAAATTGACATGAACTCGATAAGATTTTCAAAAAGCTTACCTTTAGCTAACGATAAGAGGAATTTATGACGTGTATTATGAAGGATTTTATTCTATATTCTCTTAAGTCTTAAATATTATAAAAATTCAAATGATAAATTTGATTAAACCGACGGTTGTTATTACCTTTTAATAATTTGTAAATTAGGTTATGTTTTATAGCGTCATTTTTGGTCATGTACGGATGTCATGTTATATTTGTGGCCAAATTTGAAAAGTTTAGGTATTGTGTAATTATTAATATTTTGCATAATATAGTAAGTATCAGATTAATAAGTTGTATGTAGGCATATTTACTTATATTGGTAAAGTGAACGTTTCTGGTGGTGTGCAACACTAAGACTGAGATGGCAACAACTTGCGAATGATGTTACCATTGGAAACAAGGTCTGATATATTATGTAGCATAATTTAAAATTCAATTATGCCAAATTAATGTAACTTTCCTCGAAAAACAACGTGTTCTAATCAAATTTTAATATATGACACGTTCGATTATAAATCGTAATCACTTCATCTAACTTCTTAAGGATCATTTCATCTCAAAATTATATTTTTGTATAAGTATTGTCTGCGAAAAAGTAACTGTTTAGCTTTTAATGGTCCAATAACATTCGGCTATATGATAAACTATAAGATGTGTATAATACACCATACTTAATCGAACATTAACGTGTACATAGCATTCATGTCTCACTTCATATAATATTTAACCACATAGTATCTGTTTTATAGAGATAAGTACATTTACTTGATGTTACAAGTCCCAATCTAAGAATGTAGTTAAATACAATAGATTATCCTTTTCTGCAAAATACTCGTTCCTTAGAACATTTTTATTTAGTTAGATAATTTTCGAATCGCTAAATGAATTGTCTGGATATTGGAGACTTTAAGATCAAAACATGTCCTAGTATAATTGATATAAATTTAAAACAAAAATATTTAATGCTGTAAATAAATTCATGGAACATAAAGAAGTACGCCATTATTATTTTCTGCATGTCATAGATTTCGTAATACAATAGGTGATATTTAGAGCAACTGGATTTCGCAGTTAACACTTATTGGCTCTTAAATAAAACTAATATTTATATATATTTTAAAATAATTTATTTCAAGATTAAGATGTTTGCTTACATGTTATAATGACGATGACTAAAAGGTATACGTGGGTAAGTATAGAACAAAATTAACATAACTAGTGATTAGTTATATTGGAACACTAGTACAATAGAAGAAATATTTACAATGTGGTTTAACAAAGAAAATAGTTTGACAACATTATCTACACACACAATATATTTATGCTTCTTAACTATAACTAAAAGTATAACAGTGGGCTAAGAAAATAATAACAAAGCTTGAAATTATGTAATTTTTTATATATAGATATTTATATCTTAATCTACTTTATCTTCATAGTTTTAAACTGTGAATACCTCAACACACTCTGTCATGATAATGAATATATAAGAAGTAGAGAAATTATTCACGACTCATGAATCTATTTAATAGTAGTAAGTAAAGTTTTGTCCTCATCGTCATTAGGTCCGTACTTTGATTTCCAATCTGGGGCATATTGATGTCAGATTAGAAATCAAAGTACACTTCTCATATTTTTAACATAGCTTCACATCCCAGTTTTGCGTTTGCGGCATCCTGATCACCATGACAGCCCTTTACAAGCCCACTGTTCAACATATGCCTCCCTGCCATGAACATATGCCTAAAATTTCGATCATAGCAATTTTCATAGCTCGCTGAACGGCCTTTAGCATCCTCATACGACCAGCAACGTGGCAACTTACAATGTAAATTTATTGGAAAACGACGTTACATTTCTCTTTTTTTTGCCACTGGTTATTTACTCTTGTTTTTAAAGTATGAATTATGCAACATGTAACAAAAACCCTGTGGTTCGTTAAGTGCGTTATCACTGTCAGTTTTCAACGTAAAGAATTTACATTTTTTTTTCAAAAAATGTGAACATTAAAAAAAATATTTTAATTAAAAAAAAATTTGCGAATTGTATGTGGTTTTATTACCTCTGCATTATCCGGTGAGTAAGAGGATTGTGAAAGACCCCACTTCACCTATGCTCGTGTCAGTTAGAGGTAATAAAACCACATACAATTTGCAAATAATTTTTTTTATTAACATTAAATTTTTTAATGTTCAAGTTTTTAAAAAAAGTAATTTCTTTATGTTTGAATACGGACTCTGATAACGCACTTAAATGGAACCACAGGGTTTTTGTTACACGTTGTATGTGAGATGTTAATTGTTAATATGATAAGATGTTAGTTAAATAATGAGAATGAGACGCAATTACCTGAACACTGCCCAGTTCTCATTTTTCACAGATTAACCTTTTGGTCGAAGTTGGACTTACTTAGTCAAATAATTAGTACTGGGCAAATATACTCGTCAACAACTGCGATTGTGTTACTAGTGGAAAACCAACTCGTGGTTGGCTTCGTTTTGACAATTGCTTTTATTGTACTGTGTAAATAAAGACCATAAGCCGATGTCTTCTTAAATTAATTGCTAGTTTTAGATTTTAAAATAATTTAATAATGATAAAATTTAACGCTATTGTGTAGTAATTACTAGGGAAGTGTGCGCAGAAATCGCTTGACATTATTGCTCCCTCTCACTTCCACCATCGGTCAACCGGACGCCAAACTCATTCTAACCAAACGCTGCTTCGTCGTTGTAAATTGTACACAAGACTAAAGAAGTGTCCTTGTAAGGAAGCCTTTCATTTCGAATCTTGGGCGGTGCCCTAGTCCCTTCAGCAGTGTCAAATTGACTGTAGGTGCTGTAGTTTTTGAACAATAGGGCTACGATGGCTATTCGAATACAGAAGGAGAGTACTAAACCTACCCAACTGTGTAGTGTGAGACATGATGACGTGACCTTATATCCCCTAAATTTTTTTTACTGCTGCATTAAAACACGTTTTCAAGCTACTCGTCTGGATAGGCTACGGTATCAGTACCAATGGCAAATACATCCCTCACCTTTGTACATAGTCATTATGGCAGAATCGCTGGAGGATACGCAACGGATAGGTCTTAAAATTATGTAGGTAAATAGTTATTGGAGCACCACGCTGGAAGTCGTTGACGAATATGTTTACCGATGCCAAATTGTCCGACTAGGTAATACCAATTTCAACCGAGAGATCAATTGACGATTCCAACTCGGCTGGGCAGCGTAAGACACATCTCTCCACGTATACCTCAAAACTTAAAAAAAGAACGTTCGTACAACCAGTACGTGTTGCCACTGATGCGCAGCGGGTGAGCAATAGACTGTAAAAACTTAACCTTCGAATTTATTGCAACACACCATATCTTCTTAAATTTCGAATTACTCAGTAGAAAAATGTGACAAAATTAAACTTTTAATAAGTAGTTTTAAATTATTTTTTATTCACTGAAGATTGACTAAGGAAATACGAAATAACCCTGATTTTTTTTTAATTTTATATATATATATTTAATATTTATATAAATAGCCAATCGTTTAACTTTGATAAATATGTACAAATAAGTTTATTTATTATTACAGTTTCTTTACAAAAAATTTGCATTTTATTATGTGATAGAATTTATGACCATACTTCTAGGTAAATTTGCGTGTTTTTAACATTTTTAATATTATTTCCGTTCTGGTTCAGAAATCATACGACCCTTCCTTTATAATACCTACCTATATATGTATATATACCGTCATTAAATTTTTTTCATTTTTAATAAAAAAAAAATTGTTATTTTAAAAAAGGTTACCTCCACACTAGGATTTTCTCCTGTGTCGTGGTGGCAGTTTACAAACATAAATTCAGGACAAACAAGGACTAACATCCAGACCCGGAACAATTATTTGTAGTGCGGGATTCGAACCCGCGGCCCGCAGCGCAACAACTGATTGCTAAGCCACTGCGCCACGGAGCCGTCAAATTTAAGCCTACTTTATTGGAAGTTGGCTGCAGGTGTCCAAAGATAAGTTATAGTACTAAAAGGTAGCTACTTACCATCAGGTGGATTGTAAGTGTCACTTCAGTTCTATTAAAAAAGATGTAACTATACAGAGTGAATTTATATGTATCGTGTGTACCATTACAGCTCTAAAAACGTATTTCTCGAAATGAGTTTCTCTTAAATACTCATTTTGATTTGAACTATTTAGATTAATACGAATTTAAGACAAAAATAGCGGTACGTTTTCTTTTATTCGATTTAAAATAACCATTTTACTCGAACAATCATTCTTTCTTCTATCACACTTCTTATAAGCAAGACTCAAACAGGTTTCCTTGCTACAATAACTTTCTTAGGTTTAGCAATGAAATAACACAGTTACGGAGGCGTTACGGTAGCTTAACAGACGCACTGATAAACAACATCATACTATTCATATTCAGTCGATCCGTATTACACATATAATGCGAATTAAACATGGCGAAGTATGGCAAGTTTAATTCTTAATGTTACTACTATTACAATAATCTATCATAAAACATATGATATTGGCATATTGGTAACTAAAAATTATATAAAAAAAGGAGTAAAATTTCATAAATTTCGTAATATTTTATATTACAAGTTACTTAAAAATATCTTGTTTATTTCTAAAATTACTCTCATCTAGGCTGTTACATCCAATTATATAATTTAGAAAATATACACCAATAGTGTGTAATTAATCTAAGCATTCAAGTCTTTACCCAAACCTTTAGCTCATGGGCTAAACTCTCGCCGTAAATTTTACCCTACGCGAACAACCTGGGATCAATCCCCGGCATATTTAAAGTGCTATTTTACCCCTTGCTCGGCGGAGAAGGAAACCCGCATTTTTTGAGAAAAAAATAATAATTTCGAAGACGTGAAATCCGCTAATACGCATTGGGACCACATGGCGGACACTTCTTTCCCCTAAACCCTCTTAGAAACGAGAGGTGCTCGTAGGCTGTAATCTTTTTACTTTTAATCAAGTCTTTATACAGAAGTTAAACTATCACAGTTATTGTCTCGGTAGGTATCTAGATTACTAATACAGGAAATTCTTAGGATTCATTCTCCTAGCCTTTCTACATTACCACTGGCACCGGATGTTGCTACAATAACACTGGATTCACTGACATTATTCACGTTATTCTTTACACCTCGATCTTTTTCTTCGTCCGTATTAACTAAATCTTTTTTGCTGTCATCGTTACCTTTGTCTTCGTCAGAGTCTTTATTTTCTGAAGAAGTCTTATTTTTGTTCTTATTCTTTTTGAATTCTTCTTCCATTTCTTTAAACTTCAGTGTTAAGTACCTATAATGAGAAATTGTTAATTTTACTAGATGGTAGGACTCCTTTTCTTCCTAGGCGTCCGTGTCGGTAAGTGCAACTCTCTTATCTACATATTTCTGCCGCCAAATAGGTGCTCATAGTATGAGCCTCATACTGCTGTATTCTGTGTTGATGGAATAGAGAGCCGTGCCCCGAAGGTAGCAACGCATCTGTAGCCTGCTTTGTTTGAAGTTGACCGCAGGTGTCAATTTATTACAGTAGTTACCATCAGAAAAGCTGTAAGTTCGTTAGTCACTTCAGTTTTATATAAAAAAATATGATATTGCACAGTTAATCTCTTATATCAACTCTTAAAATCATTTTTCATCGTGAAATCTTGCTGCAGCATAATATACATGCAGCATAATATACATGCAGCGAATATGGAAATGAATATGAATATGAAGATCACGCTCACAGAACACTAGCATAAAATAGCAGCATATTACCAGCATTATTATGTTTGTTTGTTTCGTAAACCTTAATCTTCTGGGGTACCAATGCATCTACAATTTGATTCGTAATCGATGATGATGTAGGTGTCTATGGGCAGTGCAGCAATCACTGACCATTAGGTGGACTGTGTTCTCGTTTGTCACCCTTAACTCTATAAAAATAGCTACTTATATAATATATGGAAAAAATTATTAATAACCTTAATGATTTAATTATAAAGTTGTTACTTTATTTACTTACTTATCTACTAAAGGTCCACTGTAATCTTCTGGAAATTTAGGTGAATGTGGCAAGATATACTTGTACAGACTTTCGTTTAATACGTAAAGCTGAGCAGTGGAGGAGCACTTAACATTGAACCACCAGTCACAGGTAAGGCCGGCCTGAGAGAAAATAGTTCCGTTTGGACATAAAAACGATGCTTGTCCTCCATTCAAATCGCAGTAATGCCATACCTGTGAAATAAACATACATTTAATTTTTCCGTTGACACAAGTACAAGCCGTGTAGTATGGGCGATAGAACATCTGTTACTCTCTTAACGTCGTAATAATGACTTGTAAGAGGCAACTAAGAAATATACCAGAAAGGTCTTATGACTTCCGATAGTTGGCTGTATAATCCATAGAACCTTGATAAATAGTAGTTTCAAGGAAATCTAGACCAATACATATAATAAATGTAGATAAGTTCACTCGAGCACATTGAAATCAATGTTAACGTATCAGAAAATTTAGCCAAGAATCAAAAAATTTATACCATCATAAAAGAGGCCTGATACCAGCGTAAATTAGCAGTTTAATTCTGCTGCAGTGTAAAGAATCAGAAACCCTTTTCATTCGAAATAAGCATTCCATCTTAGTTTTTAGGGGTGACAACGCATCTGCATTTCGATTCTTAATGGAGTATAGATGTAGATGTCTATGGCTCACAGCATCCACTTACTGTCAGGTGGACTGTGTGCTCGTTTGTCACCATTATTATTAAAAAAAGGTTTTCAATCTGAAAATATACATATATTTTTTATAACATACCTGACATCTGGTGTCTGGATCAGCAAAGAAACCTTTATATCTTTGAGTCTTACAATTGAATTTTGTTTGCGGGATTGTGGTTAAAATTGGGTAATCGATATCAGGCCGTCCCGGCGTACCACCTTCCTCATCAGATGTTATAGGTAATGGAAACCGCTGACTAGTACTGGTATAATCTGTAGAAAAAAAATTGTAGTGTCAAAATATCACTCTTATTAGGCCTTTAATAAATACTATTCTTGTTAGATATTAAATAAAATCGTCCTTGAAACCATTGTCGTAATACCTAAATATAATTTAAAATTTTGTATAATAGACTTCAATATAAATTATTAAGAATAACTCAAAAACTACTCGTCAGACCTTGATCAAATTTATATGGGACAACATGTGAAGCACCAGCTTTCAAATAAGAAAATAGTCATCGAAATCGGTTCACCTAGTAAAAAGTTATGAGGTAACACACATAAAAAACAGTCGAATTGAGTACCGGCTCCTTTTTGAAGTCGGTAGAAAATGATTCCAATTATTAATAAATAGTGCAATTTTTCTACTTCCTTAGAATAACTCAATAAATTGTATGATATAATAAAAATAAATTTTAATAAATATAGATTCATTATATCAAACTATATTAGTTTAATAAACGCCATTGTTTTAATAAGCAATGGTGTTTATTAAACCTTGAGTAGGTGTATGTGGCGTAGATATAAGTTCGTAGTTTTCCTTTGTATACTAACCATCTAAATGTTGCGATGGATTTTCAACTTTTGCCAGATATGAGTCCGCATTTAAGTTAGCTTCCGCTGCGGGATCCGTAGTAGTATATAGTATCGGTTTTTTAGTAGTTACTGAAACCTTTGGTGCTTCAAATGGAGCAGGTGAACTAAGAACTGGTGGCTCGACTTCACTTTGTTGAAGCTTTCCCTTCAACATGTTCAATGCTTGTATCAAAATTCTTATAGAAGAGCCCACATTTTCTTTCGTGATTGGTTTCGGGATAAACTTGTTAAGTTGTAAGGAATTCAAAAGATCTGCAAGAGTTATTGCGTCAGAAGAAACAGGCTGCGGTTTGTAGGTAGGCTGTTCAACATCATATTGGTAATATTCTGGTTCATCTTCATTTTGTGGAGCTATAGGTGCACTTTCAATTTGCAATTCTTGAGCTTTCTCGGTCTGATAATGTGGGTAAGGCGGATTAGCTAAAGTTGATGTGTACGCCGGAGTATTTACTGTTTCAGTGGTATGACTAATTATTGGCTTAAATCCAGATTCTAAAATTGGTTGAGCGTGTACGGGAATCTGCTGTTCATAATAATTTTCGGAAATTGTAGTAGGAGGCTTTCGATATTTAGATTGTTGAAACACAACTTCATCAGAGTTATATTGAGGACGAGGTCTTGCTTTTATATATACAGGATCGTTTGGAACTGATGCCGCGATGTTATAATATTTCTTGGGTGTATTATTAAATTCAATTTGAGGCACATTTTTTACTGGTGGAGTATTTTCATACGGCACAAGTTTATACTTTACCTGTTCTTTTTCATGCAAATAATAGTCAAAATTATCTGACTCTTCATTTTGATAAAAATTAAGATAAGGCTCTCTAGTTGATGTATATGAAACGCTTGGCGCTTTGAATTCCTTTGGAATATATCTATTATAGTCTCTATGAAAGTTTTCTCTGGTATCGTACTCTAACAACAATGGGTTATATTTCGTTGATACCTTTGGTACATTTTGTAGTACTACAGGGTAACCTTTATTATAAAATATTTTTGTTGGATTTGCAGAGGCTATGTTGAAATGTGTTAGTCGATTACCTTGATATCTTGGAATTTTATTCTGATAATAGGTCTTAGGTCTAAGATGATTTTGTGTATCAATTGTATCAGCTTCAATAATGTGTGCCTTTTCTACCTCAACGCTCTTCGTGTTGTATGCTTCTCTAGTTGGCGCCACTAGGTCATTGGCATAATAAAATGTCATGTACGGTATTAATCGTCTATATCTTTCATTTATAGCTAGCTTTGTTGAATTGCCTCTTTGAATTTTAGTTTTATCAATATTTTTCTTAATAGTATTGTCATCAGCTTTTAATTGTGAAGGAATAAAACCTTTCTGTAAGTCAACCATCGTCCCTCCAACAATTTTTATTTCTGGACTGTTTCCATTTGATGATATTGTAATTGATGTAACGGTGATCGGGATTACTGCAACAAAAAAAAAAGACAAAAATATTACATAAATAATGTTACTTTCGCCATTTGATAAGAGTGTTTACGTTACGATGTTTACTCAATAAATACAAGCTCATCATTACAAATTTGTTACAAACCCTGTCATACTTATAAATAATTTTAAACTATTCCAGATATAGTTTCAGTTTGTTTAAAAATGTTTTTGTATGGGCATGGAAGAACGGGAGTCCCTGACACAAGTGCCTTAGCCTAAGGTATGAAAAATTGCTAAAAAAACTTAATGAAATTAAAGGATTGTTAAATTAGAAGCCCCATCAAGCTACAATTATGTATCATAATATTAGTTGATTTACACGCATAATACTCGCTTAGTCGTGGATTTGCGGAAATAAATCCGTATAACACTAACAACAGTTGATACTTGCGTTTATTTCCATACCTAGTTGCATGATGATTTGAGCGTATTGATTGTAGGCATCGGGACCGGATTAACCAAGAAGAAAAGTAGGCAATTTCATAATATGGCCCTGTGTCATTTGCAAAAAAAAAAAAGACCGTCATAAAATACTTTGTCCATTAACTTTGGCAATTGAAATTTATCACCAAAAAGAAACTACATTATTGTTAATCATTTCAATAAAATAAAATTAAAATAAAAGAAAACTTCTGGTTTCGCATGTCCACTCTTTACCATGCCAACTAAAAATTCCAATAAATTAGTGGACTCTTAAGTGATTCAACCTTTCTATAGGCAACGTAAACGCATCTATCATACCATCTTGTCCCTTAAGATTTAAAAAACTAATCGAACAAATGTAAGGTCCGTAAAAAGTGTTTAAGCAAAATTTTAACTGAGTTTTAAACCAAAACTGGCTTGATAGTGATAAATCATACATGGACAGAGAGAGGTAAAATTAATTAAATGTTTGGATGTGCTGAATAATAAAATTAATAACTTTCTATTTTTTCATTGGTGTCGTAAAGGTCAACTATGGGAAATTCCAGAGAGATCTCATAAAATCATGAAAAACAACCGGGATAGCACCCATTGGTGCTGCAAAATTTCTGGCTCTTCAATCACCAATACGCATGTCGATCGTGGTGACTGTGGCACATCCATCCCACTGAGAAAGAGGCCCTTGGATTGGTAACGCACTAAATAATAAAATATTAAACGTAAATCAATTTCTTGTACATTACGCCTGTTTTGATATAGATCACGAACATACTGAATTATGTATTGTTTCTTGACAGAATTGCGCAACGTTGTTTAACGTGTACGGTTTTATTACGACAGATATTCATTACGAATGATCTTCTACATAATTATCATGTTCTATATTGGGTACTGATTTGGTAATCAAGTTCAATACGCAATATTATTTTACTTTCACTGGGTGAATTCTTGCAACTAGCTGTAATAACAGTAGATAAAAATGTAGAATAGTTAACTTACGTCTTTTAAAACGTGTTTCACCATTATATTAGAAAATACAAAGCTTATACAATTATTACCACTTGGGTAACAGTTTATTTAAATTGCTATTTACATTGTTATTAATTACGCTACAACAAAAAACAACATGCATATGAGTAGGTTTTTGCGCTACCCACAGCGTAAAATAGCAGCTTAACGCTGCTGTGTTTCGTATGGTGAGTGTAGAGAACCGGAGACCCTTTTTACTGGACAAGAGGCATTCCATCTTAGTCATCACGGGTGACAAGGCATCCGCATTTTGAGTCTTTATTGAGGATAGATGTAGATGTCTATGGGTCACAGTAACCACTTACCATCAGATGGACTGTGTGCTCGTTTGTCACCCTATCCTATAAAAAAATCATAACGTAAACAGTGTTAAAAGGTGTCAATTGTCTGTGTACTTTGAAACTAATAATACTGTTTCTACACAAATTTTTACCGTGTCTGAAATTGCAACAATTGACCCGCCATGACTCCAATAACGAACTTGAATGGCTTGGAAAAGAGATCAGTTTAAAATCATATCACATAATATCAAAAATACATTAAAACTTTACCAATAAATTCGCATCGTCTATCTGTATTTGACATGCCTCCATGAGTACCTACATAAATTATCATTAGTTTATTATATATCAGATCCGTGACTAAATCTATTGATTCGCTTCTCTTAATGCATTATAAATCCAATTACTAAAGATCTTATTAATATTATTTCATAGGTTATTTTATCTGATCAACGTGCACAGTACATACTATGATATTTTCACGTATTTTTTTTATAGAAGAGGGGGCAAACGAGCATGCGGCTCACCTGATGGTAAGTGACTACCGCCGCCCATGAACGACCGCAACACCAGGGGAATTGCAGATGCGTTGCCGGCCTTTTAGAAAGGTGTAAGCTCTTTTCTTGAAGGTTCCTAAGTCGTATCGGTCCGGAAAATTCGCTGGTGGCAATTGATACCACAAGGAAGGTGTGCGAGGGAGAAAACTTCTTCTAAATCGCACAGTGGTGGACCGCCAATCATCCAGATGGTATGGATGGTAACGCGAGTTTTATCGCGATGTGCGATGGTCAAAATTGAGCGGCTGGAATTAGTCAGAACAATTCCTCAGAGCACTCCCCGTGATAGATGCGATAAAATACGCAAAGAGATGCAACATCTCTACGCAGTGCCAGTGTATCGAGCCGATCATAAAGAACTCGGTCTTCGACGATTCGAATCGCTCTGCGCTGGATGCGGTCAAGTCGAAGGAGCTGGCACTGGGTTGCCCCGGCCCAGAGATGAGAACAGCATTCCATGTGGGGCCGAACTTGCGCTTTGTAAAGTTGCAAGCGATGTGCCGGCATGAAATACTGTCTCGCTCTGCTGAGCACGCCAAGCTTTTTAGAGGCCAATTAGGCCTTCCCTTCCACGTGACCACGAAACTGCACACTATTCGATATGTCGATGCCAAGGATTCCGATACTAGCTTAGGCAGCAAGGGGAGTGCCTTGAAACTGAGGAGATACGACAAAGGGGTTCTTTTTAGCGGTAAACGCGCAAACTTGTGTCTTCTGGGGATTGAACTGAACTAGATTTAGTCGCCCCCAAACCGAAACTTTGTTAAGCAAAGACTCAACTTCAAACACAAGTTTGTCCCGGTACTCGGCGACGTTTTCCCGAGAAATATTGGAACGGCCGGTATATAAGGCATCACCAGTGCTGTCGTCTGCATAGCAATAAATACTACCAGTTAGTGACATATCATTGATATGCGGGAGAAACAGCGTTGGTGATAGCACGCAGCCTTGTGGAACACCAGCGTTGATAGGCTTGAAATCAGAGCATGCACCGTCTACTACGACCTTGATGCTCCGATCAGCAAGGAAACTGGTGATCCATTTGCACAATTTCTCGGGAAGCCCATAGGAAGGAAGCTTCGAAAGAAGCGCTTTGTGCCAGACCCGATCGAAGGCCTTCACTATGTCCAAACTAACGGCCAATGCCTCCCCCTTGGACTCAACTGCCTCCGCCCATCTATGAGTCAGATAGACTAGAAGATCACCAGCTGATCGACCCCGACGAAAACCGTACTGGCGGTCACTAATCAGCTGGTGATCCTCAAGGTACCTCATGAGCTGGCAGTTTATAATGGATTCCATTATTTTGGAGAACAAGGGGTGATGGCGATAGGCCTGTAGTTGGACGGGTCTGAGCGGTCTCCTTTTTTAGAGATCAGGTGGACCAAAGCTGTCTTCCATAAATTCGGGACTACGCCTTGGGAGTAGGAGTACCGGAAAAGACGCGTTAAAACCGGTGCCAACTCCGTAGCACACGTCTTCAGCACAATGGTAGGGACTCTATCGGGCCCACTAGACTTGCTGACGTACAGGAAGAAGAGTGCTTTGCGAACCGAGCGCTGTGTAAACCGCACATCCGGCATGGAGCACTCACATCGCGGGATGGTCGGCGGTGTGTTACCCCCGTCATATAGAGTCGAGTTGGACGCAAAGAGAGAGCTCAACAGATCGGCTTTCTCCTTTGCGGCATGGGCCAGTGAGTCGTCCTCTCTGTGCAGAGATGGAAGAGATGGCTGACAGAAGTTCCCTTGGACAGCCTTGGCGAAAGACCAGAATGCACGGGTTCCCGAAGGAAGGCGAACTAGCTTCTCGCCAATTCTGCCGATGTGCTCAGACCTTGCCTTGGCAATGACGCTTTTAAAGGACCTGGAGGCGGAATTATACTTCTTTTCAAGTGCACTGGTGTTTACACCCCGAGACGTTGATGCTTCAGCCCAGGCCCGGTAGCACTCCTGCTTATAGCGTGATGCTATTTTACAGGAGCGTACCAAACCATGGTTGGGATCTGCCTCCGATGGGCACCACAGGGGACGGAATAAAAAGTTCCATACCCTGAAGTACCACATGAGCAACAGAATCGGCAACAACGCTGGGATCTTCCGGCGAGAAGCAAACCCACCCCCAAAGCTAGGATGCAAAAAAAGACCGCATCCCGTTTCAATCAGCTGACCTATAGTACCAAACTCGGCGGCAAGCTGCAGATCGCAACTGCGATTGGAGTGTGAGTGGCACCGTACTCCGGATCAGACAATGGTCCGAAGAGCCCAGAGGGGCATCGACGGAGACGTGATATCCGTCCGGATGAGAGGTCAGCAGAAGGTCCAACAGGGAAGGTACATGGTCTTCCACATCTGGGATCCGCGTAGGCGAAGTAACCAGTTGTGTTAGACCATATGCCAAAGCAAAGTCATAAACAGATCTACCTGCATGATCGGTTAAATGAGAACCAAGCCATGGTGGTGGGCGTTAAAATCACCGAGTATCACGATCTCTGCGGATGTGACCTGTTGTAGCACGGAGTCTGCAGCCATTTGGACGTGGTCTATGAGTCGGTCTGTGTCGGCATTACCGCTATGGGACCTATAGAGGAACCCGTAGACGCGGGGATGGTCGTCGCTGTCTACGCGCAGCCATAGGATGGACAGGTCCATACCTTTAAGAATGCCGAGGCGTCGAAAACAGATGCCC